AGGGATCATTCATCATACGAATTCGTTTAACTGAATCACTTGACACGAAACGTTAAAACCGTCATCGTTATGTTAGAAAATAGATAGTTATCTCCGTGGTTCACGCAGAATCTACTACCGAGGTAAACGTGCTCGGCGAACACATGTTACGTCTAATTTACTCTCTCTGAGCTCCACATTTGAATTAATTATACATTCAAACCGCTAATCGTCCGCTAATTAACCAGACTAACCTAAACCATCTTCTAAATTACAAAACTGTTTTATGAAATTCTTGTAAAAAAATCGTAACGATGAAGTTTAATGGAAAATGAGAAATTATTTATGGTATGTTAATTTTGTTAAATCATTATGATATCTCAATTCGTTCTTAAGATATGATTTTTATATAAATAAACAGAAAGAAATGCAATTTTTAAAACGTCACATAATATCTTCATTTCAATAAGTAATATCTCAAGAACTAAAAGATATTTTTAAAATCAGACTTTTTTATTCGAAAGAATACAGTTTTTTTAATAATTTTGGAAAGTTTTGATTAAATCGGTTAAAAAGCCGATTTTTAACGATTTTTATAAAAAGAACAGGAAAACTTGCAATTTCTAAAACGTCAAAATTTTTGTTTAATTTCAACAAGGAATATCTCAAGAACTAACAGATATTTTTACAATCGGTCTTTTTCATTCGAAAGAACATAGTTTCCTTACTATTTTTGGAAGGTTTCAATTAAATCGGTTGAAAAGTCGATTTTTAACGATTTTTATAAAATGAACCGGAAAGATTGCAATTTCCAAAACATCAAAAATTTATCTTAATTTTAACAATTAATATCTCAAGAACTAAAAGATATTTTTAAAATCAGTTTTTTTCATGCGAAAGAACAAAGTTTTCTTAATATTTTTGGAAGGTTTCAATTAAATCGGTTGAAAAGTCGATTTTTGACGATTTTTATAAACCTGAAAAACTTGCAATTTCTAAAACGTCAAAATTTTTGTTTAATTTCAACAACGAATATCTCAAGAACTAAAAGATATTTTTAAAATCGGTCTTTTTCATTCGAAAGAACGTAGTGTTCTTAATAATTTTGGAAAGTTTTGATTAGATCGGTTGAAAAGTCGATTTTTGACGATTTTTATAAAAAGAACCTGAAAAACTTGCAATTTCTAAAACGTCAAAATTTTTGTTTCATTTCAACGAGGAATATCTCAAGAACTAAAAGATATTTTTACAATCGGTCTTTTTCATCCGAAAAAACATAGTTTTCTTAATATTTTTGGAAGGTTTCACTTAAATCGGTTGAATAGTCGATTTTTAACGATTTTTATAAAATGAACCGGAAAAATTGCAATTTCCAAAACATCAAAAATTTATCTTAATTTCCACGATTAATATCTCAAGAACTAAAAGGTATTTTTAAAATCGGTCTTTTTCATGCGAAAGAAGACAGTTTTCTTAATAATTTTTGCAAGTTTTGATTAAATCGGTTCAAAATTCGATTTTTGACGATTTTTATAAAAACAACCGGAAAAAATGCAATTTCTAAAACATTAAAAATTAATCTTAACTTCAACAATTGATATCCTAAGAACTAAAAGATATTTTTAAAATCGGTCTTTTTCATTCGAAAGAACACAGTTTTCTTAATAATTTTTGAAAGTTTTGATTAAATCGGTTCAAAATTCGATTTTTGACGATTTTTATAAAAATAACCGGAAAAAAGTGTAATTTTTAAAACGTCAAAAATTTATCTTAATTTCAACAATTGATATCTCAAGAACTAAAAGATATATTTTAAATCGGTCTTTTTCATTCGAAAGAACGTGGTATTCTTAATAATTTTGGAAAATTTCGATTAGATCGGTTGAAAAGCCGATTTTTAACGATTTTTATAAAAAGAGCAGGAAAAATTTGCAACTTTTAAAACATTAAAAATTTATCTTAATTTCAACGATTAATATCTCAAGAACTAAAAGGTATTTTTAAAATCGGTCTTTTTCATTCGAAAGAACACAGTTTTCTTAATAATTTTTGAAAGTTTTGATTAAATCGGTTCAAAATTCGATTTTTGACGATTTTTACAAAAAGAACCGGAAAAAATTGTAATTTTTAAAACGTCAACAATTTTTCTTAACTTCAACAATTGATATCCCAAGAACTAAAAGATATTTTTAAAATCGGTCTTCTTCATTCGAAAGAACATAGTATTCTTAATAATTTTGGAAAATTTTGATTAGATCGGTTGAAAAGCCGATTTTTAACGATTCTTATAAAAAGAGCAGGAAAAATTTGCAACTTTTAAAACATTAAAAATTTATCTTAATTTCAACGATTAATATCTCAAGAACTAAAAGGTATTTTTAAAATCGGTCTTTTTCATTCGAAAGAACACAGTTTTCTTAATAATTTTTGAAAGTTTTGATTAAATCGGTTCAAAATTCGATTTTTAACGATTTTTATAAAAAGAGCAGGAAAAATTTGCAATTTTTAAAACGTCAAAAATTTATCTTAATTTCAACGATTAATATCTCAAGAACTAAAAGACATTTTTAAAGTCGGTCTTTTTCATTCGAAACATCATAGTTTTCTTACCAATTTTTGAAAGTTTTGATTAAATCGGTTGAAAACCCGATTTTTTACGATTTTTATAAAAAGAACCGAAAAAATATTGCAATTTCTGAAACGTCAAAAATTTATCTTAATTTCAATAAGTAATATCTCAAAAACTAAAAGACATTTTTAAAATCGGTCTTTTTCATTTAAAAGAACATAGTTTTCTTAATAATTTTTGAATGTTTTGATTAATTTGCTTGAAAAATCGATTTTTAACGAATTTTAAAAATAAAATCGGAAAAAATTGCAATTTCTAAAACGTTAAAAATTAATCATAATTTCAACAACTATTATCTCAAGAACTTGTTTCATTTGAAAGAACATACTTTTCTTAATAATTTTTGATTAAATCGGATGAAAAGTCGATTTTTATAAAAACAATCGGCAAAATTGCAAATTACTTCCATTTTAAACTCACAAAAACTGCTCGAGTTGATGATGCTATTTNCTTTTAAAACATTAAAAATTTATCTTAATTTCAACGATTAATATCTCAAGAACTAAAAGGTATTTTTAAAATCGGTCTTTTTCATTCGAAAGAACGCAGTTTTCTTAATAATTTTTGGCAGTTTTGATTAAATCGGTTCAAAATTCGATTTTTGACGATTTTTATAAAAAGAATAGGAAAAATTTGCAACTTTTAAAACATCAAAAATTTATCTTAATTTCAACGATTAATATCTCAAGAACTAAAAGATATTTTTAAAATCGGTCTTTTTCATTCGAAAGAACGTGGTTTCCTTAATAATTTTGGAAAGTTTTGATTAGATCGGTTGAAAAGTCAATTTTTAACGATTTTTATAAAAAAAGCAGGAAAAATTTGCAACTTTTAATACATCAAAAATTTATCTTAATTTCAACGATTAATATCTCAAGAACTAAAAGATATTTTTAAAATCGGTCTTTTTCATTCGAAAGAACGTAGTATTCTTAATAATTTTGGAAAGTTTTGATTAGATCGGTTGAAAAGCCGATTTTTAACGATTTTTATAAAAAGAGTAGGAAAAATTTGCAACGTTTAAAATATCAAAAATTTTTCTTAATTTCAACGATTAATATCTCAAGAACTAAAAGATATTTTTAAAATCGGTCTTTTTCATTTGAAAGAACGTAGTATTTTTAATAATTTTGGAAAGTTTCAATTAGATCGGTTGAAAAGCCGATATTTAACGATTTTTATAAAAAGAGCAAGAAATATTTGCAACTTTTAAAACATCAAAAATTTATCTTAATTTTAACGATTAATATCTCAAGAACTAAATGGTATTTTTAAAATCGGTCTTTTTCATTCGAAAGAACACAGTTTTTTTAATAATTTTTGGAAGTTTTGATTAAATCGGTTCAAAATTCGATTTTTGACGATTTTTATAAAAAGAACTGGAAAAAATTGTAATTTTTAAAACGTCAAAAATTTATCTTAATTTCAACGATTATTATCTCAAGAACTAAAAGGTATTTTTAAAATCGGTCTTTTTCATTCGAAAGAACAGTTTTTTTAATAATTTTTGGAAGTTTTGATTAAATCGGTTCAAAATTCGATTTTTGACGATTTTTATAAAAAGAACTGGAAAAAATTGTAATTTTTAAAACGTCAAAAATTTATCTTAATTTCAACGATTANATTGATTTTTTCTAATTCATTCTCGAACGAAACTTTTTCCGGCTTAAACATTCCGTTTTGTGTATATTAAAATTTAAGTCGAGTAAATGCTATTAAAACGAAGACACGGACCGATGATCTTCGATCCGTTTTTTTTTATTCTAAAACGCTTTTTTTTATCGGGTTTCGAACGCGTCCGTTCAGAAGAAACGAGACTCGCTTTGATGCTGAACAAACAACCTTGATTAATTTGATCACAGATGACGTTGCACGTCAGTCTTCTTCGGCTTCAGATGGCCCATCCGTCGGGACAACACAAAGGCCAAATTCTCATGCCTGCTTACAGGCTATTGGTCACATTCGACACGCTCTTTCTCATAAGACTAACCGATACTCACCAAAGAATAAACTTTAAAGAAGAAAATTTTAACAAAAAAAATTATTTCTAGTTTTGCTGCATTACTTTTTTAATCAACAGTACATCAAAAAAAAATTAAGGGGTGGTTTTTCGAAATTAATTATACTCAATAGGGGGTTCTCACGAATTGTCAACTCGAATCGTCGAGCACTTATCGCCCCCCTTCGAATAAGTGAAATATTTCGATGTAATTGTCGTTCGAGTTGTTATTACCTCCTCTATACAACAAAAAGATTCCTTTCAAAAAAACCGCTCGTGTGTGTTTATTTTTATTCGTTGCGGTTACCTTTTTTGCGTTGTAAAGGATTCATTCGATTTAAACTAATTGAGATTTATTAAAAAAAGAAATTTAACAAACGTAATGATGCTTACCTTCTATTTTGATACCACGTTTTGACCTGAGTATCGGTTAAACTCAATTTAGCCGCTAATTCCATTCGATCTTGAACGCTGAGGTATTTTTGACGTTCGAAACTTTTCTCTAACGTTTGTAATTGAAGGTCGGTAAAAGCTGTTCGAGCTTTTCGTTGTTTTTTACTTATCGCACCACTTGAACTTTTTGATGAGTTTAATGAGGAATCATCACCATTTTGACCTATAACAAAAAAATATATATATTCAGAAAATGTTCTTTATATACATTCAAAAAATTAAAACAAAATTTAAATTTAATATCTTCTCCAGATTTCGGGATCTAAAAGATATTTTTAAAATCGGTCTTTTTCATTCGAAACAACATAGTTTTCTTAATAGTGTTGGAAAGTTTTGATTAAATTGGTTGAAAAGTTGATTTTTATAAAAAGTACAGGAAAAGATTGCAATTTCTAAAACGTCAAAAATTTATCTTAATTTTAACAATTAATATCTCAAAAACTAAAAGATATTTTTAAAATCGGTCTTTTTCATTCGAAAGATCATAGTTTTCTTACCAATTTCTGAAAGTTTTGATTAAATCGGTTGAAAAGCCGATTTTTTACGATTTTTATCAAAAGAATCGGAAAAAATTACAATTTCCAAAACATCAAAAATTTATCTTAACTTTAACAATTAATATCTCAAGAACTAAAAGATATTTTTAAAATCGGGTTTTTTCATTCGAAAGAACATAGTTTTTTTAGTAATGGTGGAACATTTTGATTACATCGGTTGAAAAGTCGATTTTTAACGATTTTTATAAATAGAACAGGAAAAAACTGCAGTTTCTAAAACATCAAAAATTTATCTTAATTTCAATAATTAATATCTCAGGAACTAAAAGATATTTTCAAAATCGGTCTATTTCATTCGAAAGATCATAATTTTCTTAACCATTTTTGAAAGTTTTGATTAAATCGGTTGAAAACCCGATTTTTTACGATTTTTATAAAAAGAACCGAAAAAATATTGCAATTTCTGAAACGTCAAAAACTTATCGTAATTTCAATAAGTAATATCTCAAAAACTAAAAGACATTTTTAAAATCGGTCTTTTTCATTCGAAAGATCATAGTTTTCTTACCAATTTCTGAAAGTTTTGATTAAATCGGTTGAAAAGCCGATTTTTTACGATTTTTATCAAAAGAATCGGAAAAAATTACAATTTCTAAAACATCTAAAATTTATCTTAACTTTATCAATTAATATCTCAAGAACTAAAAGATATTTTTAAAATCGGGTTTTTTCATTCGAAAGAACATATTTTTTTTAATAATGGTGGAACATTTTGATTAAATCGGTTGAAAAGTCAATTTTTAACGATTTTTATAAATAGAACCGGAAAAAACTGCAAATTTCTAAAACGTCAAAAATTTATCTTAATTTCAACAATTAATATCTCAGGAACTAAAAGATATTTTTAAAATTGGTCATCTTCATTCGAAAGATCATAATTTTCTTAACCATTTTTGAAAGTTTTGATTAAATCGATTGAAAAGCCGATTTTTCACGATTTTTATAAAAAGAACAGAAAAAAATTGCAGTTTCTGAAACGTCAAAAATTTATCTTCATTTCAACAATTAATATCTCAAGAACTAAAAGATATTTTTAAAATCGGTCTTTTTCATTCGAAAGAACACAGTTTGGTTAATAATTTTTGAAAGTTTTGATTAATCTGGTTGAAAGGTCGATTTTTAACGATTTTTATAAAAAGAACTGGAAAAATTGCAATTTCTGAAACGTCAAAAATTTATCTTAATTTCAATAATTAATATCTCAAGAACGAAAAGATGTTTTCAAGATCGATCTTTTTCATTTGAAAGATTATAGTTTTCTTAATAATGTTGGAAAGTTTTGATTAAATCGGTTGAAAAGTCGATGTTTAACGAATTTTATAAAAAGAACAGGAAAAAATTGCAATTTCTAAAACGTCAAAAATTTATCTTAATCTCAACAATTAATATCTCAAGAACTAAAAGATATTTTTAAAATCGGTCTTTTTCATTCGAAAGAACACAGTTTGGTTAATAATTTTTGAAAGTTTTGATTAATCTGGTTGAAAGGTCGATTTTTAACGATTTTTATAAAAAGAACTGGAAAAATTNTTAATAATTTTTAAAAGTTTTGATTAAATCGATTGAAAAGTCGATTTTTAACGAATTTTATAAAAAGAACAGGAAAAAATTGCAATTTCTAAAACGTCAAAAACTTATCTTAATTTCAATAAGTAATATCTCAAGAACTAAAAGATATTTTTAAAATCGGTCTGTTTCATTCAAAAGAACATAGTTTGCTTAATAATATTAGAAAGTTTTGATTAAATCGGTTGATAAGCCGATTTTTAACGATTTTTATAAAACAAACCGGAAAAAACTGCAATTTTTAAAATGTCAAAAATGTATCTTAATTTCAATAACTAATATCTCAAGAACTAATAGATATTTTTAAAATCGGTCTTCTTCATTCGAAAGAACATAGTTTTCTTAATAATTTTTAAAAGTTTTGATTAAATCGATTGAAAAGTCGATTTTTAACGAATTTTATAAAAAGAACAGGAAAAAATTGCAATTTCTAAAACGTTAAAAATTTATTTTAATTTCAACAATTAATATCTCGAGAACTAAAAGATATTTTTAAAATCGGTCTTTTTCATTTGAAAGATTATAGTTTTCTTAATAATTTTGGAAAGTTTTGATTAAATCGATTGGAAAGTCGATTTTTAATGAATTTTATAAAAAAAACAGGAAAAAACTGTAATTTTTAAAACGTCAAAAATTTATCTTAATTTCAATAAGTAATATCTCAAGAACTAATAGATATTTTTAAAATCGGTCTTCTTCATTTGAAAGATCATAGTTTTCTTAATAATTTTTGAAAGTTTTGATTAAATCGGTTGGAAAGTCGATTTTTAATGAATTTTATGAAAAAACAGGAAAAAATTGTAATTTCTAAAACGTCAAAAATTTATCTCAATTTCAACAATTAATATCTTAAGATCTAAGAGACATTTTTAAAATCGGTCTGTTTCATTCGAAAGACCATAATTTTCTGAATAATTTTTGAAAGTTTTGATTAAATCGGTTCAAAATTAGATTTTTGATGATTTTTATAAAAAGAATCGGTAAAAATTGTATTTTTTGAAACGTCAAAAATTTATCTTAATTTCAACAATTGATATCTCAAGAACTAACAGATATTTTTAAAATTGGTCTTTTTCATTCGAAAGAATATAGTTTTCTTAATCATTTTGGAAAGTTTTGATTAAATCGGTTGAAAAGTCGATTTTTAACTAATTTTATAATAAAAACCGAAAAAATTGCAATTTCTAAAACGTCAGAAATTTATCTCAATTTCAATAATTAATATCTCAAGAACTAATAAATATTTTTAAAATCGGTCTTCTTCATTTGAAAGAACATAGTTTTCTTAATAGTTTTTGAAAGTTTTGATTAAATCGGTTGAAAAGCCGATTTTTAACGAATTTTATAAAAAGAACAGCAAAAAATTGCAATTTCTAATAGGTCAAAATCTTAAGGTTAATATCTCAAGAACTAAAAGATATTTTTAAAGTTGGTCTTTTTCATTTGAAAGAACATAGTGTTGTTTACAATTTTTGAATGTTTTGACTACATTGGTTGAAAAGCCGATTTTTAACGCTTTTTATAAAAACACTCAGCAATACACATTTACATGATTAGAATTGCTAGGTTTGAAGTGGTGTAAAAAATAAAAAGGTGGGGTTTATATGGTAATGGGTTATGAGTTAGGGAAGGGAATAAAGGGGTTGATTATACACAGTGGAGTGGTGGTAGTTAAAGGACCCAGAACGATGCCATAGCTAATCTTCATTCGTCTGGGGGTCATAAATAAGGTGGGACTCTTGCTGTATTTGAGCGATAGCCTTGCTTATGTTGACTTTGACAGCGACTTTGTGCCAAAACCGGCGAATTCACGAAAATTCACAAGAAAAAGTCTAAAGAGGTTAAATCGCACGATGTTGGTAAATCAAGTTGAAACTTAAATATTTTAAATTTAAATTAAAAATCCTTTGAAACGAGTCCAAACACGATATATTTATGTTTAAAATCGCCCAAGATATGATGATTCAAAAATATTGATGTTTTTTTGTTTTTTGAGATTTTCGATTGTTTCTGAATAAATTTTTGGTGATATCTCCGTTATTTTTTGCAATAAATTAGTCGTGTTTGGTATCATTTTAAAGGATTTTTAATTTTCTATCTATTAAACTCCATATTATTTTTATTTCAACATAAAATTTAAAAAAAAATTTATTAAATAATTTTTAACAAAAAATAATCACTTTCTCGACGTTTTTAAAGATAAATATCTCGTTGAGACTTTAACAAATCGATAAAAATTACAAGTAATTGAGTCTTAAAGGAAATGTTAGGTGTCGCCGGGGAATTACCATAAAAGGGGCGGACGTCGATCAAGCAGCGAAGGGACCAATTTTAAAAATTTACATCTATAAATCAAAACCCATCTTTGACGGCGGCCCGGCCGTTAACTTCAACCCAATTTCCTCTTGGCAAAATTTAACCAGCACGCGCGCAATTTCCAAGTAATAACGACAAAAAAAAGTAAATCAAAAAGATGTAGCTTAAGAATGTCACCAGACACGCGATTCCTGCATAAACTCTTCGCGGATGGTGCGAAAAACTTAATTGGATTGAAAACAATGTCGATTAAAATTCTTTTTGAAACTTTTGTACACATTTTAATCGCAACGAGAGTATAAAATAATTTAAAACCGTTTTCGAAGGCGTATGCAAAATTTAAAAGCCTGGAGAAGTTTGCGTAGGCGCCTCTCGTTGCAAATTAAAAAAAAACTACAACAAATTTTCGCCCGTATCGCTCTTAATTGGCTTTAAGCTTGATTGATGCCGAGCGTTACATCTTTGTTGGTCGTTTTGTTACCTTTCATAAACGGGTAGAATTAAACCGGGCAGACGACGAGACCTTCTTTTCCACCGAGAAAACATCATATTTGCAAGATTAAACTTTAAAATTATTAAATTTTAATTTAACAAATATGGGTTAAGATAAATTATGTAAATCGCAATAATTGAAATATTGATTAAGATCGAAATCGCATATGTTAAAAGAAAGGGAAAACGCTTGAGAGTTGATCGCATTCCAATTGAGCCAATAACACAGATC